TGCTGGACATTTTTCCTCCCTAGGTGCAGTACTTTGCATTTCTCCTTGTTGAACTGCATTCTGTTGTTTTCCACCCATATGTCCAAGCTGTCCAGGTCTGCTTGTAGTTGTTCCCTGCCCTCCGGTGTGTGCACTTCTCCCCACAGTTTTGTGTCATCCGCAAACTTGGACAGAGTACACTTCACTCCCTCATCCAAGTCGCTGATGAAGATGTTGAAGAGTATCGGTCCAAGGACCGAGCCCTGCGGGACCCCACTGCCCACACCCTTCCAGGTCGATACCGACCCATCCACTACGACCCTCTGGGTGTGGTCCTCCAGTCAATTCGCCACCCACCGGACTGTGTAGTCATCCAAGTCACAGCCTCTTAACTTGTTCACCAGTATGGGGTGGGATAACGTATCGAAGGCCTTCCTGAAGTCTAAGTATATGACATCCACCCCTACTCCTGCGTCCAGGCATTTTGTAACCTGGTCATAAAAAGAGACTAGATTAGTCAGGCACGATCTGCCTGCTACGAACCCGTGCTGGTTTCCCCTCAGCATAATATGTAAAATAAGCACAACTGGGCCCCTTCTTCACTTAGGGCCCTAGGCATGTGCCTAGTTTGCCTATGCGTTAATCTGATCCTGAGGCTTGGGGGCAGCGGGAAGTGGGGTGGGGGGGAGGTTAGTTCTGGGTTCCAGGTGGTGGCATTGGGTGGCAGAGGGGCTGGTTGGGGCAGAAGAGTGCTGAAACTATGGGTTCTCCCACCTCCCACTGTCAGGGACAGTACTATCTTACAGTGAAGTTAATTTATTTACCAGGCCGTAATACTGGCACATGTGTAGACAGTGATGATTTACTGCAGAGCTAGTCACTCAACTCCACAGTAAAGTGCATATATAGATGCACCCTGTTAAAGTACACTGCTCCCAAACATCCTTTTTCATGGTACAGAGATGTCTCTAAGTAGTCAATATTCAGAACACAATATTATAATCACAGTAAGGAACCACACAATCTCTTACTCCCCACTTTGTTACAGCAGATGCAGAATATGACCATTAATGGAAGCATTATTCTAAAGTTTGGACATGTCATATACTCCACCCCCTCTCCGGCAGCTGAGCCAAAAGAACCCAGCACAGTTTCATGGATTCTGCTGCTCTGTTGTAGCAGACTAACAATTCTGCAGCAGTATCATTTAAAATTAAGAATAAATGTTTCTAATGCTTTGTGTACAGAAACAGTTAATGCTATCAAGATCATTACTCCATTCATAATTTGTTTTGCAAAACAAGTTTGTCATTTTCTGACTAGCTCTGCTCTTTATACCAGCTATTTAGGTCTCTCACTCTCATATAAGAATTACTATTACATAGCTCTTGGTTAGTGCTTTCTTAGTCTTTAGATCTCAAAGTGCTTTATGTGGAGGTCAGTAAAATTATCCCCATTTTACAGATGGAGCAACTGAGGCCCAGTGTCCCAAATCACCCATGAGGCCCTTGGCAGAAGCAAAGGCAGAACCCAACGCATATGAGTTTCAGTTAAGCCTCTGATGCTTTTCCTCATCCCAAGAACTCCTTTTAATGCTCAAAACTTCACTTCATTTGGACAGTCTTAAGACATCTTTCTTTGACTCTCTTGCTTCCTGCTCTAAGCCAAAGCCTACATGGCTTGGAAGTCCTCAGGCAACCAAAACTGGCTAGTAAAAAGGACGAACAGAAAACTAACCAGACCAACCCACTGGCATTATAATAGATCAGGTAAGCTAGCAGCCAATCTTCACAGATCTGTGCTCACCCAGCCCAAACCACACATGGATCTCCCTACCACCAGGGACTTCCCTGGCTTCTATCTCCCACATTGTCCTTTCCCACACCTCCTCCTACCCCAGTGGCTCCAAGGGGATTGAGGCCATGAGCAGAAGAGAACTCCTGGTGCTCCAAGGGGAGAAAATGCCCCTGGCTGCCATGCTACATGGTGTCTTTGAGAGGTACAGCCCCCACACAGCTGCCCAGGCCTCAGCCTAGCTTGTGTGCACCCTCTGGTGCGTGAGGAGGTTGGAGCTGCGGCTGAAGCTCCGTCCGCACTCTGCACACTGGTATGGCCGCACGCCAGCATGAGTGCGCTGGTGCTGAAGGAGATTGGACCTTGCGCCAAAGCTCCGCCCACACTGGGCGCATGTGTGTGGCCGCTGTCCTGCATGGACCTGCTGATGTTCGCTGAGCTCTGTGTCACGGCCAAAGCACTTCCCACACTGGGCGCACTGGCAGGGGCTGTCCCCCACGTGCAGTCTCTGGTGCCGGATGAGGGCAGAGCTCATGGTGAAGCTCCGCCCACACTGAATGCACTGGTAGGGCCTCTCGCCTGTGTGGATGGTCCAGTGCTGGAGGAGGTGGGAGCTGAGGCTGAAGCTCTGCCCACACTGGCACGCATAGGGCCTCTCGCCCGTGTGCACACGCCGGTGCTGCACCAGGTGGGAGCTGACACTGAAGCTCCGCCCACACTCTGTGCAGACGTAGGGCCTCTCGCCCGTGTGCACGCGCCGGTGCCGCACCAGGTGGGAGCTGACTCGGAAGCTCTTCCCGCAGTCCAGGCAGGCGTAGGGCTTCTCGCCTGTGTGGATGAGCTGGTGCCGGAGGAAGGTTGAGCTCTGTGAGAAGCGCTTGCCACAGTCCGGGCATGCATAGGGGCGCTCTCCAGTGTGCGTGCGCTGGTGTATGGCTAGGGACGAGCTCTTGGGGAAGCTCTTCCCGCAGGCGGCACATGTATTGGGTCTCCCCTCTGGGTGGGTGGGAGGCCCAGCAGTGCTGTCTTGCTCCCTCCCTCCTTGCTGGGGGGATTCTCCTGGTGTCTTCTCAGGGTGGTGTCTCTGGTGTTTTTCTGATCCACAATGAGTCTCTCGGTCTACTCCCAGCTCACCTTCAGGTCTATCTGGCACAGTTATCTGAGAAGCTCTCCTGTCAGAGGCTCCATGCGAGGGCTTGTCCTCATTCTGGCTCTCCACGCCGTTGCCTGGTGGAATGAAAAGAGGACCCAGCCATGATTCCCTCCTTGCATGTGGCGAAAGAAACCCTCAGGGCTTGGAACTACAGTAGGGCTGGACATGATCAATACCAGTAGTCACCTGAAGTAAACCTTAGACTTCCCTGGGAGAAGAGCCTAATTCTGTCTCAACTTCCCACCATATGAAGGAAGTTCATATGGTGGGAACTTCCAAGGGTTGGTGGTGGTGGGGCACCCTTGCTTCATATCTGTCTGGACTGGTTGAAAGGCTATGAGGGTATGAGAAGTCCTGGTTAGGCAAGCGAAGGAGATGGGATGCTACAGAACAGGGAGAGCATGCAGCAGTGTGGACAGAACATGCAGTAGTGTGGGTTTCTGAACTGGCTTATGTTTATTCCTCACCTGTGTGGGCACTGGTCAAGGTTTCCTTGCAACCTCGTTTATTGGGACCCCTTGGTTCTTCCATCCAGGAGTTTGCATCAAGTTTGGGAGCAGGATAATTCTTCTCTGGGGAAGGAGGCAGGTGAAATCAGAGTTTGTTACATAGGCACTACGTATTCATTATGCCAAAAAAAAATGATCCATGATTTTAAACCCAGTCTGTATCATAAGTGGAGGGCAGTTTTGTCCATGCAGATGTAGTTCATGGAAGAGTCCAGCTGAGGATTGGGGCCCAGTGATTGAATCATATGGCTACCTGCAGGGATTATATCAATGAATGCTCAGCTCAGGCCGGATGCCCCAGCCCATAGTACAGCCAAGAGCATGGTTGATGGGGAAGACTGAAGAATAGCCCCTAATGGCTCTGGAGAGCCTGCACCAGTGATGGGAGGAATGTTTTGCACTGGAAGGGTATTTATTCTGTGATGCCTTAATAAATAAGACCTCAAGAGGGATATGACTCAGTTGGAGAATCAAAAAGGGGGAAACTGAGGCACATAAATGCAATGCCTGGCCATGGAGCAGTGTGATCCAGATCTGTGCCTTGCAACAGTACCATGTGGAAATAACTGATATCTGCCAACCCTCCTTGTAGGCTAGCTGACAAACTCCACACTGATGACCTGGGCAAAAATCAAGTAATTTAATTTTCACTGTTTATATTTAGCTATGTAGAGAGACCAGAAAGTAGCCCCATGTATGGAGAAGACACAGGTATAGCAGAATCTGTGTAATGGCATACCTGTTGCTTGCAGACTCCAGTTGTTTGTATGCTTTCCCGTAGGACAAAAACATTTACTGTCTATACCATTAAACTTGCTCATACATTTTGGTTTACCACCTAAGTCAGAACTAGCTAAAACTAGTAAAAAGATAGCCCAAGACTGGTTAACTGAATCTCAGCTCAGACATGAGTGCCCATGAAATGGTGGAAAAATGAACATTTGCTCAATAAAACCTAGAAAAACAGGAAACAAACATCATCAGTGTTTTCACCAGGCAGGGTTTATGCTACTCACAGATACAAAAGCAGGGAACAGGTGGCACAAATGAAGATGATGTTTCTGACCTGGCAAGTAAGAGAGAGAGAATTTACCCAATATTATTTCCCACAATGACAAACTGGTCTGCTATGGGACACCCATGGGGCTGTGTGAGGCTGTCTGTTAGAAGAAGCTTACAGGGATCATGGATGATACTAATAAAGATGGTGATACCGAAGCACTTGGCTCAGCCAGTGACAGGAGTAAAGTTCGACACACGCTTTGCCAGTTTATGGGAGAGAATCTCTCTGAAGATGTTGCCTGTTTTTAGCAACTGGAAGATTGTCTTGAGAAAAAAAAATAGGAGCTGTTTGCAGACAAAGATAACATTTCGTGTCACAAGAACTGCATTTTCTCAGTATCTGCTGTACTATCTTATTTTATTCCTGAGTTAACTGTATTTGTTGTTTGCACTGTTTTCATAAGATCATTTGTTTTTTTCTGAGCTATCTTAACTGTTTTGCTATTTCATAGTTTTACTTACTGCGTCTATTGTATTTGTTGTGGTTTGCATTGATTCAAATAAAGCAGTTGCAACATTATATTAAGTTACATATGAGATGTTTGGAATAATTATGCTACACACCCCTGGAGTGTTTTTTTTAAAGTCCTGCTCTGTTTATTAACATAGTCCAGCTATGTAATTTTCTTGAGAAAAGAGGCTATGCAAATAACCAGAACCTACTGCATTGTGTATATACTAGTGATCAGACTGGCCAACCTGACAACCCTCTCCCCAAGAACAGCTGTAGCTATGGGCCATTATTGTCGTGTATTATTCATTATGTAAGCCCTGACAACGCACTTAGTTTGGCATGAGATACAACCTGAAGCCAAACAACAGCACAGAGAATTGCAAGATCGGATCAGACCTCATAGCTCAGCTAGTGAGACGTCTTTCCCTGACAGCCAAACAAGGTGCTTTGGAAGACAGCAGAGGGTTGAAGTAATAGTATTACCAAGAACATGTGAATGAAATTCTTGAATCAAAGCAACTGGGATTAAAAATCATGGGTGAATCTCCTGAATCTGCAGGGGCCAGATTTCACCAAGTGTATAGCAACATCATACATACTGATTTTTACCAATTCTCTGACCAAGCAGCACAGAAAATCTAGTCTGGTTACTCTCCCCAGAGCAGCACGTTCGCTCTCTACTGGGCAGAGGAGGGGAGTTACTGTCTGCTCCCATTCCACCTGCCCCAGGAAAATCCAAAATAAGGATCCAGCAGTGATGCAGTAGCTGGATCTGGGATATTGTAATTCATCTCCCCACCCTTTTCTCTTCTTCTCCCCCATCACTCTCTCTTCTTTCCCTTGCTATCTCCACTCCTTCTGTGGTTGACCACTGCTACACTCCTAGTGCAATCACTCAGGAAGCTATCAGCCCCAAGAGCCTGTGGGTGGTTCCCTGTGGAGGTGGTTGATGTGGGGCTCAGAGGCAACAGGGATGGGAAAGGAAGGAGCATCTCTAGTGGAGTCTCAACCCATACCCAACATGTTCCCTGTTACCTGATGTGCCTGACCCAGGAGGGGTTTGCAGACTATTTGCTCCTCCAAGAAGGTAGTTATAGCCAGGGAGAGCGCATCCGAGCTTGCTGTGGGCCTCTAAATGATGTCTGTTAGAAGCATAAATCCCACAGGAGCCGGGAGGACAGCAGCCCGTGGGTCTGTGCTCTTGCACAGGAGGAAGGCACAAGCAGCATTTCACCCGGGAAGCTCAACCCCCCAAATACTAAGCACAGGAAATATAGAAGCAGAGAGAGAAGCAGACTTCTGTCTCTTCCCAGCAGCCACCCCCCTCTAGTGGCAGAAACAAGGGGGGCTTGTGTCAATTCTCTGTTAGCAGGTGAGGAAGCCACTGCCTTGGCTGCCAGCGTGAGTCCTGGTCCTGACTGTGGTCACTGCTGTCGGGCATGAGCGCAGCGTGACAGCCTCAACCAGCTTCAGTCTGGCTAGACTGACTGACTGTGTGTGTGTGTGTGTGTGTGTGTGTGTGTGTGTGTGTGTGTGTGTGTGTGTGTGTGTGTGTGTGTGTGTGTGTGTGTAATTCTCTTTTTTCTGTCTTGATTCAATCAGTCTAAAGATAGTTGTGTCTCCAGTTGGTTGACTTCTGTTAGTCCCCAAAACTCTGCAGTGTTATTATGGTTTGTCTGTGAGCTGTTCCCAACTGCTGTGAGTTTGTTTTAAGAATTCACTGCCTATTTCAGAAAAAAAGCTTTTCCAGAGTGTGGCCTGTGCTGTAAGTTGCTAGTTACAGTTCGCTGCGTTTGACTGGTGATATGCTCCGATTTTCTTTTCTCTGATTAAATGAATTACAGACTCCTAGCAGATAACAAGTTACACATTCCTGACATTAATGTGCAAGACTTTTTGTACAACTACTTTCAGGAATAGCAGTGGCTGGTTTGAATGTTCATGAACAACTATAGAATAGCCTGACTCCCATAATGGGACTTAAATCCAAAAAGACTCATCCTAATATATATATTAGGTTCACATATCCTTTTTTTTAGTATTAAACTTACTGTCATATCTACTAACCCTAATTTTTGAACTGCCATTGTAACTGCTGTGTCTCAGCTCTTTCCATTTTCCACCAAGAGACAAGGGTGAGATTGGTGCTCATGGTCTAAAAGGTAAGAGACCACTGCTCACTCGCTAGTAGAAATCATTGTATCCATTATGATATTAATAATGAGACACTGAATCAATAAAGGACAGATGTGATGTCATGTCTGACCTTCCACATAGCCCCAGACTCTCAGAGGAAAACAGCTTCTGACACCTTGCTTAGCTCCTAGTTAGAGATGTGACATTTATCATTAAGAGCTTAGAGCCTGAGGCCCCTGCTACACGTTACATATATTACACAATTAACTGGTTAAGCTTGCAATAAATTTAGACCAGCCTCATGTGCAAAGTAACTATCATATAATAAAAATGACTATCCCACTATAAAAAGACCCAACCAGCTCCAAATTTAGTGCATGAATATGTGTAATAACTCTTTAGCTGGTTTCTATCCAGCTTTAATCTTGACATGTAATAGGGCCCTGAATTGAATAAGAGGACCCTTTAATCTCTTTGAATCGAATTGGAACCCTCCAAACTGATTCAGAGAGGTTTGGAAAGATTCAGCAATTCAGACATAGACACAACTTTTAATGTTTTTTCTACTTACCTCTAGGTAGCAGGCAGCTCGTGAACTCTATAATGCTGGGGTGCACAGAGTGAGGGAGGATGGAAACTTGGGTAAAGGTAGCGCAGACTTAATACTTGGGAATAAGGCAGATGTCAATGATGATGGCACTTACCATTTCTTTCACACTGCTCTTGTGCCCAACAGGAGACACTGAATTGCACATTGACCTCACAGACTTTGAAAACAACAGATCTTATGCCAGGTACAGATCAGTCAAGATTTCAGGGGAGTCTGACAAATACAAGCTGAGTCTGGGAGACATGGGTGCTGGTGATGCAGGGTGGGGGGACTTGTTCAATGTTATTCATCGCAAAGACAAAACAAATGTCTCTAATGGAAATGTAGGACATCCTGTGGGGAAGCAGAAGGGAACCCATCCTGTGCAAGTCTGCAACTCCTGGCTCAGGAGCATAAAAATAATTCTACAAGGGACATTGTTCCTTTAATTCTGTCTCAGGAAGCAGATTGATGCCCATCTTGCTGGGGTCATTTGACCCCGGCAATCTTTCCTGCCCAAGTGCAGGCGAGCTGGACCCGATGATCTGTAAAGTCCCTTCCAGCCCCTAACATCCATGAAACTGTGAAAGACCTAGGAGAAAGGAGATAAAACCTCTCTGTCTCCTGATCCCTTCTTCTCCCATTTCACTACTTGCCCTGATGATCCATGTGGAAACTGCCACTACATTTACCAGGTTTAGCAGACCTTATGTGACAGGGCAGGCCCTTGACCAGGCTCTTTTGTTCAGGGACTCACTCTTGACTGGCTGATGTAGTATGGAATAGGTCCAACCTCAGTACTCCACCACTTCAGAATGGGCCCCTTCATACAATGTCTGGCCAGAAGAAGTGGCACATGTCCTGGCACCTACATCTCCCTGTTCCCCTACATATGACCAGCAAAAAGTCTGGCATGAGATAAAGGAGCTTACCCTGATACAGAAGGATCCGTGTATTTCCCCTCTCTGTCCATCTTTGTCACGGTTAGTTTTCTGAGGTTAGATGTGTACAAGCAGCCTCCGATATAAAACATACCGAGAACTGGATTCCGATCTCGCTAGCCAGTGTAACTACTGTAATATGGAACGATGTGTGTAAGCAGAGACTCAAGTGCTGGATGTGCAGTTCTCTGAACATTGCTAAAAAACGATAGTCCTTTGCTTATGAGCCAGTTGTGCTTCCATTCATATAGAAAGTTAATTAATTTATTCCAAGTGATTAATTCAACATTAGGGACATAGAAAGTACCCTTAGGGTATGTACAGACATTTCGGGAGGTTAGATAGAGTTAAAAATGGCCAACCGACCTAAGGTAAGTCAGGATGGTGGGGGTGGGGGTGGGGAGAGGGGGAGGCACTAGTGGGGAGGATTGGTGGGATGAGGGAGTGAGTGAGGTCCATGGGGGGAGCTGCAGGAATTGGGTGGGCTAGCAGAGTCCACAGGGGGGTTGGGGGGATTCAAGAGGGTTTGGTAGGATTAGGGGAGCAAGCGGGGTTTGCAGGGGGACATTGGGGGGATAGGGGATTCTATTGGGGTCTGTGGGGGAGCTGGTGGGGTCCAGGAGGGTTTGGCAGGATTGGGGGACTAGCAGGGCTCCTGGGTGGTTGCAGGGGGGCTCTCCCTCCCTGGGACCAGGGGCTATTTTTAGCCCCCTGACCTTCCCCACTCCCAGACAAACAAGTCTCCCCTGCAGCAACTCCTCCCACCTCACCTGCCCCACCTTACATCCTTAGCTCCTAGCACTGACAAATAGCGGTAAAACCAGCACCAGGAGCGGCTTGGGGATGGTGGGGGGTAGCGGGGTTCAGGGGACTG